GGTTGGGGGACGGGGGGGTGGCAGAAGCTGGGAGAAGAGGGGGTTGTTGGGAGAGATTTCGGAGGGGTGGGTGGTAGAAGAGCCTAGAGGCCACTGCGCAGTTGTGACGAAGGCCACAGTGACCCTCCCCACTTAGGGATAAGGGTGTCCACACAGCACAGCACATCACGGGGAGAGGGGCTGGGGCCTATGCTAAAGAGAAGGGGGCGAGAGGGGCCCTGACCAAGGCATCACAATAAATACGATTAGCAGCACACAGAAGCCTGCAGGGGAGGAGGGCCAAAAAAGGAGTAACCCCCCTCCAAATAAGAACTCTGCAATTACTAAACCATAAAAATAAACTTTAAACCCGTGTAAGTCGGTAGTCCCCCCCAGAAGTGCTATGTGGGGCCGCATAGCCCTAGCTGAAGAAGAGGGCAAATGGGGTAGGGGATGGGGGGATATAGAGAGAGCCCCCAAAGGGTAAGATATTTATCCGATTTTCCCCTTCTTGCCCAGGCTGGTCAAAACGTTTGGGACCTGCAGGAGCACCTCCTGAATGTCAGAATCTTCTGAGTAGACTTCACTTCCTTCCCCATAGATGTGTTCTTCTTCATAGAAGTCCTCGCCTTGCTGGCTGCCTGTGAAAAGGAAAGGGGCATGGAGGAGGGTGGTTAGATGTCCCTTGAAAAGTTAACAGAACACACAGCTAGGGCTTTTGAGGGCCTGGGACCATTCGCCAGGTGCCTCTGCTTGGAATAGGGAGAGAGATGAAGAGGGAGGGAGAGGGACAGACAAAAGACAGAGAGAAGAGATTGAGAATGCTTGTACTCAAACCCATAGGGTGAGAGAGGTCGGGGGGAGGCAGGAAGACAGGGAGCCCATCTTGCCTGTCAAAATGATAGATCTCTGAAAGTAGCTTTTTCTCCCCTTGCTGTATCTTCCTGAGTTAGACCCTTGGCTGAGAAAAACCTTATATCCATCCCTCATTTCTTTCCCCCTAGTGTGATCTAAACAGGCTGTAGCCTGTCTTCTTCAGCACAGTTCCCCACCCCAGAGCTAGGCAGACAGCTCTGCCTCTCTTTCTTGGAGGTGGGAGGGAAAGTGGACTGATAATTCCCTCAGGTTTCCTACCCTATGTGAACACATGTGTAGATTGAGGCTACTCACTCATTGCATGCTTTCATCCTTGGTCCCCTGCTCCTTTCTTCAATGGAAGTTTTCCAGGAGCCCCATGGCCAAACCTTCAGGAATGGATGGTTTTCCTGCCCCTTCCATCTGCGCAGGGGCCCACCTCTCCTCTGTCTGTCTATAGCCAGGTTCAAATACCTCCTTTCACCAGTCTTCCAGGCCAGAACTAAAGCTGGGAGTCACCTTAAATACTGCTTTATCCCTCAGACTTCCATGTGTAACCCTTCCTAAGCATTTTCCCCAATGCATACACTGGTGAACCAAGAATGTGGCTTCCGTGGTCAAGAAGTTTGGGAAATAGGGAGTTCTGCAAAGTGAAATAGGGTTTTTAAAGGCAGGATTCTCAGAACTTGTAGAGGATATTGTGCACATTATTTGCCTAACACATTTGGTCAACAAACCCTTCTGTGAAAAGCAGCTTTCAAAGCTGGTGAAGGGTCCTCAGAGAATTTTAGAAACCTTGCCAAACATAGCCTTCTAGGTCACTGCTTACAGTGTCTACCCCATGGAGAAGGCTCCACAATGTTCATTAGCAGGAATACAGCTTCCAACTCAAATGGCACCTCCTTCCCTTTATCTTCGCTTCCCTTCTTTCCCATTCCTTGAAGTGAAATTAGCTGCCCTGTGCTCTGAGTTTACAGAGCACACATACTGTGCACCTTAGCCCCCTGCTGCCCAAAGAAGCCTGGGAATTCTTAGAAGAGGAGGAAGGAAGAGAGGTCTAGCTCACCTTCCTCACCGGCCTCTTCCTCTTCCTCCACTGATTCATCAGAGATGATTTCTACCTCATCCTCATATTCATCCTGGCTGGTGCTGTTATCCAGATCCTTGTCAAAGACTTCAATGTCATTCTTGTAGTATTTGACGTCTCTGTCATCATCATCACTTCCCTCATTGTCACCCTCATTGCCATCATCATCACTGCCCTCATTGTCACCTTCATTGCCATCATTATCTTCATCATCACTGGCCTCATCTCCATTGTCACTATCACTGCTGTCTTGGTTGTTCCCAGTGCTCTGCTGGTTGGGACCTTCTAGGTTTGTGTCTTCAGGATTCGCACTGCCATAGGTGCTCTCCTCTTCTGGGTTTTCACTGTTGTCTAGACTCTGAGCAGCAGCAGCAGCAGCAGCAGCAGCAGCAGCAGCAGCAGCAGCAGCGCTCTCATAGTTGTTAGTGATCTTATTGTTGGGGCTCTCATTAGGGTCACTGTCATACAAGGTCTCACTGATGTCATTTATCTCATTGTCAGTGGTCTCGAAATAGTCGGTGGTCTCCATGAAGTCAGAGATCTTGATGTCATGCATGGTCTCATTGTCAGTGATCTCTTCAATGTCTGAGATGTCACTGAGAATGTCTTCCACGGCATAAAGGTCATGAGCATCCTCCATGATCACCATTTCATATTGATGCTTGGCTTTACTGTAGGGAAGTTTGAGGCTGAGTATGAGGTTGGTGGAAGGGGATGTGCTAAGGGGTGACACTGAAAGGTGGTAAGTAACTGGGGAGGCAGTAGGGTATAAGGGCTTCTAAGGATGGGGAAAGTCCCATCGCCAGTCCTGACTATGTAGCCCAGGCCACTTCTGGGCATCATTGCTCACCTATAAACACTGCACTGGGTTATCTCACTGGTCCCTTGTGCCTCTCTAAATTCTGTGTGACACTAGCCTACTCTTTGCCCTATTAAAAAACAAACTCCCTGGCACCAATTCCCTCATCACCTTTCCTTCTCTTCTTTCTTCTTTCTGTTTGCCCTGTAGCCATTTTCTCTCATGTAGTAGCGTACTGGATTAACCCACAGGTCGTTCTTGATAATCTGTTGAAAGAGAGGGGGAAGAGAGAGAACAGAGCCATGAGTATAAGCCCTAGACCCCACTCCCACTTTCCTGGGCACCCGGGGCAAGCCAAGCAAGGCCTTCCATGGTAATGGCAAAAGGGGCTTCACCTCAGCAATTCTGTCAGCTTCTGGAAGGCTGTGGTTTGAGAACCAGCTGAAGAAGCTGTCACTGGTGTCCTGGTTCCTGCGATTATAGGCCTGGGGTTCCTGGCCCCTATGCCAGCGAATTGGGGTGGAATGAGACACCAACCGACCTAGGGGGAGAGGAAGACATGAAGAGTGGGAAATTATAAGATGGGGGGACAGAGATTTATTCTGGGGTTGCCACCTACCTGAACGGTTGCGCTGGAACTCCTTGACAATCACCATGTTTGTAAAGTAAGGATTTGTCTGGAAGTACAGCTTCATTTTGTAACCCATGGAGATATGTCTGAGATCCTGTACCTGCTCAGGGTGGGGGTAATGGTGGTATCTGTCCCCTCCATGGCCCACCCCCACCCCCTCACCTCTAAGAACCAGATTCCTTGGCCTGCCTCCTTGGCCTGACCTGAAGATTGGTCAAGTAGCGGAAAATGTCTTCATCACGTTGGTTGATCAAGATTGAAATTCTGGGGTGGTTGAGGAACTAATGAGTGGAGCAGTTTAGGTCAAGGATTAACTGTTCAATGAGAAGGAAGGGAGGAAGGAAGGGAGGGAGGGACGGAGGGAGGGAGGGGGAAGGAAGGAAGGAAGGAAGGAAGTAAGGAAGGAAGGAAGGAAGGAAGGAAATAAATTTGCTGGCCTGTCTATAGATTTCTGAAGCTGGAGAGAAGTGAGGGTCTCCTGGAGAGATGTACTTGCATGTGGAAGCCAGGGGAAAAGAAGTCTGCTGGGTTTACCTGGGGGTTGCAGGATTCCTGTGTTCGTGCCAGTGAGTGCTTATGCAATATTAAACCTTGTCATGATTCAGATTTGTTGTGTGTCTGGGTGCTGAGGGCTTGTGTTCACAAAATACTATGTGTCTGGAGGGTGAAAGCCCATGTCTAAGTGATGCTATTTTTGGTTGCTAAGGGCCTGTGTTTGTATGATGTTTATGGTCGGTGTCCACATGATGTGGGAATGGCTCTGGAGGTTTGTATGCTGAAGACCTGTGGCCTCCTGTCTAGGTGTAGAAGTCATGTGTCTATGTAATAGTTGTGCCTGTGTGCTGAGGGCCTGTGATCATATGACACTTTGTATCTGGGGCCAGGGATCTGAATCCATATAAATTCTATTAAAATGTTAAAGCTATACATTTCAAACATCTTACATAGTTTTATGTTTCCCAGGGATGAGCTCCAGTCAGCAATAGTGGGTTGGATTCTCCCTGTTCTCCCCCTTCCTTCATTTAACCACTTGGTCTCCAAAGCCAAGTATTCTCTCTTCTAGTCCTTCAGGGGTTCCATTCTACTTCTCCCCACTCCCCACTAATTTAGGGCACTGTACCCAGAATTTAAGTCTCTAGGTATCTAAGCAGAGACCTAAGGTTGCAGAGCCTCTTGTGGTTTATGCAGTCTTCCTGAAGAGTTTCTCTATGTGCCCTTCTCCCTCTTCACTGTAGTTCATCATCTGTATCCTCCTTCTTTCCTCCCTTCACCATCCCTGGACCAGTTTTTCTGCTGTGTGCCCCATCTATTACCCTCCCTTTCACTGCCCGTGATCCATGTTTTAATGTTATGCTGCTCCTCTCCTTTCCCATCTATACTCCAGTTTTAATGCTGTGTGTGCCTTTTCTCCTTATCTCCAGTCCAGCATCTCTGCTGTTTTGCCCTCTTTCCATCCCTCTTCCAATCAATCTAGAACCTTCCAATGGGGGGCTCACCCCTATTTCTGACCCTCCCCCACACCCTTTCTCTCCCTTCCCCACATTTCTCTTTCTGTCATGGGCTTCTGGCCCATGAGTATTGATGAGAAGGATACTGCTTTGACCCAGAAGCCTGGGATGTGCTGGATGATGAGGTCTCTGCGCTCCAAAAACGGTCTTCGCATCTGGATGAACTTGCGTTTGAGACGCAAGAAGGCCTTGCCTGCCTTTATGTTCACCGCCTCCAGGTCCATTTGAATGCTCTCCAACGCCTGCAGTATGCTCTCCATCCTCTGGGCACTCCTCTCTTTGCTTTCTTTCTTCGCCTTCCTCTGCTTCCTCCTCCTCCTCCTCCTCCACCGCCTCCTCCTCACACTTTGTTCCTCCTCATCCTCATCTTCAACTATGATGATAGCCTCTTCCTTTCTCTTTGGACCGACTAACATCTGGGGCCCCCACCCCCCAAAGCTACAGGTTTCTAGGGCTTTCTCTCCAGCAAAGCTGCTGGGCTGCGCAACCTGAAAGTCAATTTCCAGGCTTCCTCCAGAGGTTTCAGAAGGGGGGAGTGCTTCCACGAACCCTGTGGGAGGGGTCTCCCCAAACCCTGACTCAACTGCAGGATCCCAGCCAGGACTCCCAGCACCCAGGGTGAAATACGCGCGGATCCCACCTTCCTCAAGAATGACATAGGGTGGTGGTGGGGGCAGAGTGGGGCCCACCCCCCTCATGTCAGCCAGCACCTGTGCAGCCTCGGTTTCTTCCTGGAGCCTCGGGCGCTGCTGGGGTGGAGGCAGAGGCAGTCGCAGAAGAGGTGGGGGCGGCGGGTCTCGCCGAGGGGGTTCCGAGCTGCTCAAGCGGGGGGTCTTGGCTGGAGGCCCCTCATCAGGGCGGTCCATGGCGACCCGCTCGAAGCTCGGGGAATTGCACTGGAGTCTCCGCTCCCGGCCGGGCCGTCGCCACCAGTCACACTTGAAGTGGAGCCGCCACACCTCACGCGACCAGCTCTGCTCACCGCCTCGCTCTGACGTCCGTTCCCAAAGCGCCTGCCCCACTCCCACCGCGCCAAGCGCCGAGGCCCCGCCCACCCCCTGAATCGGGGCCTGCTCCGCCCGCCATTGGCTGCCGTCCTCGGTGGTGGCGTCCCCGTCCCCTCGACCCCTGCCAGCTCTCACGCAATCCGCTTGCCAACACTACACATCATCACTTTTCAATTGGCTCTCTTCGTACCCACCAATCATCAGGCTGACTGCCCCAGCGATGAGAGGAAAACTGCGAGGTGATTGGCTGTGAGGAAAGCTAGGGAAGAAGCTCCCTCGCTCTTGCAATGTTTTATCCAATGGGAAAAGTACCAGTGATTCTGAAGATCAAAAAAAAAAAAAAAAAAAAAAAAAAAAAAAAAAAAAAAAACAAAAAAAAA